AGTCTGGAATTTTTTAGTATTCTTCTTTTTATGGTTTTCCTGATCTAGCTGACAAGCTTGAAGTATGAATATGTAGTAGTGGCCAGGTGTGAACTCAGTTTTGTTGCTTTATTTTAAGACCTCATGGAGATTTATTTGATAATGAATATGGGAAGTAGGGTTTAGATGTTAAAATACTAAACCGGCGCTGGCTGGTTTGGCTCAGTGGATAGAGCATCAGCCTGCAGACTGAAGTGTCCCAAGTTTGATTCCAGTCAAGGGCACATGCCCGGGTTGTGGACTCGATCCCTGGTGGGAGGGCATATAGGGAGGCAGCCAATCAGTAATTCTCTCTCATCATTGATGTTTCTCCCTCTCTCTTCCTCTCTTAAATCAATAAAAATATATTAAAAGAAAATGCTAACTGCAAAGAATTGACCTCCACAGCTGTGCCTCTTCCCCTTCTATGCTCTTCTTTTTTGTCTCAGCAGCATTTTCCTGCTTCCCTTTGGAGGCTTTGAAGTAGATTATCTTTTTTTTTCTAATTAAATCTTTATTGTTCAGATCATTACAGTTGTTCCTCTTTTTTTCCCCCATAGTTCCCCTCCACCTGGTTCCCATCCCACCCTCTGCCCTTACACCCCGCACTGTCCTCATCCATAGGTGTACGATTTTTGTCCAGTCACTTCCCGCACCCCCCACATCCTTTCCCCCCCGAGAATAGTGAGTCCATTCCCTTTCTATGTCCCTGATTCTATTATAATCACCAGTTCATTCTGTTCATCAGATTATTTATTCACTTGATTCTTAGATTCACTTGTTGATAGATGCATATTTGTTGTTCATAATTTGTATCTTTACCTTTTTCTTCTTCTTCCTCTTCTTAAAGGATACCTTTCAGCATTTCATATAATACCGGTTTGGTGGTGATGAATTCCTTTAGCTTTTCCTTATCTGTGAAGCTCTTTATCTGCCCTTCAATTCTGAATGATAGCTTTGCTGGTTAAGTAATCTTGGTTGTAGGTTCTTGGCATTCATCACTTTGAATATCTCTTGCCACTCCCTTCTGGCCTGCAGAGTTTCTGTTGAGAAATCATC